ATTATGTCTTGGCCTTCATCACTATTTTTTTTGTCATCGACTTACACAATTACGAATTATATTCTTGTATGCATAATCAGATTTGCTACTTGAATATGTGTATAGTTTTATTTCTTTTTACTATATATTTTATTTTGTGAAGTGTATCATTTAAATGTTCAAAATAATACCCCGTATTTTTTGTCCGAATTTTTGTAACAAATACTGTATTATACACGTATACTTATTTACACATTTTTTAAAAATCAACGTCTTCTCAACAGTTTTTTGACCGTATTTTTTATTAATATTACCGAATAAAATGTGTACGTATTATATCTCGTTTAATTCCCGTACCGTATTAAACTAACTATGAGCCGAACTTGACTTCATTTGTCTTACCAAAGTTTATTTCCCTAATTGCAAACGCAAATTTAAGAACCTTAGCATGGTAAACCAATTCTGCGGAGAAGGAAGTTCCGTTCAAGATTCTGGTTATGTTCCGGCCTTCATTCAATTAGTCAATGGGAAACTTCTCAAAATAAAATTAAAAATGTTTGAGAATTCCAAAATAGAACTGTAATGTTTTATTGATTAAGTATGAGTAAATAATGTTAAGTTTGGAAAATAAGTATGAAAGTATTCTAGAGCACACAGCTAATTAATTTGTCTAAATCATGCATCTCTTTTAGCATGAATGTTGGGCAAGCTATCTCACTATTTCGGGTCACTGGGTCAGCAATCTTGGTGGGCAGAGGAAAGAAAGACATTCTAATTAACTGCGCTATTACAATAGTAAAACTGAATCAAGGTTCTTGGAGAAGAAAGCTTGAAGAAGATGATCTGTAGATTAGGTTGAATGAATGTAGAAGAGAATGAATAAACCCGTAACTAAACTACAATACATATTCTATATTTATACAATAGGATAGCATTACTAATATGCTTATAATAAGGCCCAACAACATATGGCCCAATAACTAATAAGCTACTAAGAAGGATGACACCCCATCCCTGAGGGTCCCCCAACACCGACCGAACGGCACGATGGGAGGATGTAAATTGGACTATAATCACAATCTGACAGATAGAGAGTGTGGCTCCGTCCCCGGCACTTGCAGAGGCCATATGCATTTTTAGTATAGTAACCTCTCATCGCAGTTGCCAGGATTCGAACCCGGGACCTAACTCTTGTGGCACTCCCTCACTACCAGTTGAGCTACGCCCACTGATATTAAGCTAATAAGCTAATTTCACTAATAAGCTACTAAGGAATCAGCCCAGCATTATTCTTGATATGCGCAATCGTACTTTAAATCATATGATGAGTTGGAATAATTGATTCTTGTCAAGAGAAGGGTCGAAGTCTTACAAAAAGAGTGATTCAAGTGTGTCCAATTATGCTATGAATGTAAATAATGAATAATTACTTGTGAAAAGGCACAAACCTGACTGAGAAAGGTATTTTGTGGAGAGATTGAGGTGGCTTATGTAAACTGAAATGTGAAAGTGGCTCGATTTTTTTAGAGTTGCTATTAGAGATTGATTGTATTTTAATTTACTCATCGAGAAGCAACAAGAAGCAAGTTAGAGAATTCCATGATTTCGATTGGAGAGATAGAAGTAGATGACAATGAATGTGACATAGGTGGGTGAAGGTGATCATTTACGTATGGGTAAATGAAAGGAGGGGTATCCAATCTTGGGGTTTCATAGATAGAACACGGAAAAGGCATTTCTTGGAGGGAAACATAAAGCCATACGAACGAGATGGACTCCATAAGAAACTAATGCTTTGGGACTTCGAGCGATGATGGATGGGGCTACAAGTTGAGGTGGATATAATGCTCTTTTCATGGTTCAAGGAATTAGGAAATATAAGGAGGGACGTCCAGTGTCGTACATTGACCTCTTGATGGATGACATTGAACATTTGATATTTAGTTCAAAAAATTAAAAAATCATTTTTGAAAGCATACCGTGATTCGTGTGGCTCAGACTTTAGCTAAGCTAGGTGATGTGTGCATTTTGGCAAAGTAGTTTTTTTTGAAAGGAAAAACTGGCATATTATATTAAATCAAACTCGAAGTGTGAAACTGAGAGACAATACAAGCAGAAGAATTGCAAAAAATAAAGTAACCATCTAACACTAACCTCCCTCTAACCAAACATAACCATAAGCCCACTAAAAAAAGCCCACTATTCCCCTCACGACTCCATCTAACGCTGTAGTCCACCCTAAAAAGGGCGAGACTATTCACTAAAAATGTAAAAGCTTTGAGGCTATTAGCGGTTGAATCATCCCGATTGCCTCTCAACAGAAAACTAGAAACTAAGGTAAGCCAAACTAAGAACTTACCACCCTTATTATTTTACCTAATAAAAACAAAATAAAGATTAACAAACAATTCATAGTAAAAATAAATAAACTTCAGCTGATGGAACAACATGATACATCCTTCAAACGTCGTCTTCCAGACCCTAGTCACGCAGTTGTGCTGTGGCGGCGGTTCAGGAGGAGGACGAATCATCCACATACATCTTCTTTCTCCACCACTTGAGACGGCAAAGACAAATGTGCCGATCCTCCAACCACCCGATTGGAGCCCAAATCCGCCCTTTCCACCGGACCCCAAACCGTCATTGTTCCACCCGGATCAAAACAGCTGGAGCAACTTCAATCTCAATCACCACCAAAGCCAAAATAGCCAAATCAAGCATCGGACTATTAGGCCTCACAATCCTAGCCGATAGAGGTCCACGGCCACCTCCGAAACCACTGACGACTCCCATGACTTCTTGCGATCGAAGAAACCGCGTCACTAGGCTCCTCCTCGATGTGCCAGCTGCTACTTGATGCTGGCCAGGCCTCCACTACTTGACACACCCCGTCCAAATTCACATTTGAACCTACTGGACCATCGGAACAGAGCTGTCGTAGAGAACCCACCGCCACCGTCTGCCAAAACTTTTCTAGACACCGCTAGGACTTCCGCTTTAGATCTTTAAGAGAAGGAAATCGCCGAGCACGGCCTCAAGACATCCACGATCTTGTTAATCCGGAGGAAGAAGAAGGAGCCCATCCACCACCCTCCGTTGGGTAGATCTGATCGCCGCAACCTAGGCTTCTAGTGCTCTTGTCCGTGATTAACTGATTATTGAACTTTGATTTCGGGCAAAGTAGTTGAAAAATTTATATTTAAAATATATTTTAATTATTCAATAAAGAAAAATAATTTTCATTTATTATATTTAAAAATAATAAAAGGAAGCATTGGACACAAAATAGTTTTTTTTTTCATTTTTTATTTTCAACCTCCAAACTCAATATATTTATATTTTCAATATTTGCAAATATATATATTTTTATTTATTTAAGGCAAATTTGCTCCTAGGTATTCATTTATCTCTAATTGGAGCTAAAAGTCAAGAATATATTTGCACATTCTCCCAACCAACTCAACCTTATTTATTTTAGTTATTATTTAATTTATAAAGTAGAATGAAAAATATTAAAAAAGTTCGTTTCTCATCAACCAAACGATTATGAGAGAATTTCTCATATAGGAGCAAAACATATAGAAAGTGAAAAATAGGAGTGAGTATGTAACATTCCCTAAATAAGAGTATTTTTTTTTTAAATGGACAAGGATGCCCCTGCCATTGCTGCTGCCTGCTGCTACAGTACCGCTGGCCGCCGGAGTTCGCCGGACTACCGCCGCTGCCGGCTGCCGTCAGAGCTCCGGCGAGGTAAAAAATCCAGATTTGTTCCCCATTCTTCCTGCCACCTTCACAGTCGCCGGAGTTCCGCCGGCAACCGCCGTCTACCACCGCCACCACCGGACTGCTCTGGTTGCCCTAGGGAACTAGGGGAGCAATAATCAATTAGAATAGGGGTATTAGGGGTAAAAAATTAATGTTTACTTCTATTTGGGGATGATTAAGAGTTAAGTCCTATTTAGGGAAATGCGTTATGTTTTACTCCTATAATCCTATTGGGAGCAATTACTTAGTAATTATATACAATTGTGTGTAAGTGTACGATAAAAAAATGTGTGTAGGTGTGTATCAATTTGGTGTAGAAATTGATTTTTTCTTGGGGGATTTATTAAATAGGAGTAAATAATTCTTTAATTGCCAAAATAGGATTTAAAGTTAAAAATTCCCTAAATAGGAGTTATTATATGTAGTTAGACAAAAACACCCCTGAATCTGGTAAAACACATTGTCGCTGACAGAACTCGGACCGTCGCCGGATCGCCACGGACCGCCGCCAGATTGCCGCCGGTTGCCGCCCACCTCCGGCGCTTGCTATTGCTTGCCGTCGCCAGCGCTTGGTATTGCTTGCAGTCGCCGTTGCTCATGGCTCCTTTGCGGCTCGATCGATTCTGTTCTCATTTGCAAACTCCCGTTGCAGACTTCAAAAAGAAAGAGAGAATGACGCATGGGTAAAAGTGGTGTAAAAGTCCTATTTAGGGAATAAAAGTATTCACACTCCTATTTTGAAATTTAAGCAATAATTTAGTCCTATCGAGGACAAAAAAAACCCTTTTTTCTTCTCAAATATCTTCTTCAACAATCCTCAGCCCTCTTTTTTTGAAATTGTCTAGCAGGTTTGAAGTTTGAACTAAAAAAAACCATATAAATCTAGAGCCCGTTTGATAGCATCAAAATCGGCTATTTTGACTGATTCTGCTGAAATTTATGAAGTTCTGGCTGAAGTGGCTGCATTTGCTGATTTTGCTGATATAAGAAAAAAATTATTTTAAAAATATAATTTATTAATAAAATAAAGAAAAAGTTATATGTAAAAATAGCTAAAGTAGTCGTCTACAGTAATTTCAGCCAATAAAGCCAGAAAAGTAACTTCAACCTTACTTTTTCTGGTTATTATACAATTCAGCGCGCGCAAGCAAAAATTACGTGTTTGGTGAAAAAGTTGTGTGATAAGCCTCATAAACCAAAAAACAGTGTTGGCAAACCGCGTCCTGGTCTATAAACATATGTAGGTACAACTACCACACCAACAAGACAAGCACACATTGGCAGAAGAAGAATGAGCTTGGCATCCAAGACCGTTTGCGTTACAGGAGCTTCAGGCTACATAGCCTCATGGATAGTCAAACTCTTGCTCCAGCGTGGCTACACGGTCAAAGCCACCGTCCGTTTTCCCGGTTTGCTACCTCTCTCGATCTCCGGCCACTTCTATGTCATCTTTACATTACCATATTACTTTCAATTCATCTGACTCTGCTCCTTTCATTCGTTTCGGGTTTTCTGTTTCTTAATTGTATCCTCTCCATCCGAATTTGATAGCAGTAGCGAGTTCTGATTTTATTATGATATCGTAATATTTATTATTAATTGTTCCGATTTAAAGAAGGCATCCCCAGAATTGAATTTCAAGGTATGAATTGTGATTGATTTCATGGATTTATGACATTCCATAAAATGCATAACTAATGCAGGACTCTGTAATATTCTTTACCATTAATTTTCATAGATTTTCAATAACATTATTTTGATCAAAAGAATTTAGTCTCTGAAATGTTCTCCCTTTTTATTTACTCCGCATTTTATTATCAAATCTATGAAAAAACTAATCTTGTTTACAAATAACAATAAACACATAATTTGATTTCAAATTTTGTTCAGTTTATTTTTTTGATGATGTTCTTCGGAAATCTTAGTTATAAAAACTTGTTTTACAAGGAAATAAGTGGACTTTTTTCATTTTCGATTTTACTCCCTAAAAGTTTGAAATATTTATTATGAATCTTATTAATGTCATATTGTATGATCACTCATCTCGTTCACTGCCTTTTGTTTAATAAAGATTGATTATAAATTGATATTTGGATTAGTTTTTAGCTGTGAACAGAAACTAGAGTTATAGGCTTATAGCAAGATATAGTATTATAGTTTGCATTATTATTTGGATTTCAAAAATTTAAAAATCATGAGAATTCTAGGCTAGGCTGGAATTGGGTTGGAGTGATGTATGTGTTATAGTAAAAATTCATAGTACTCTACCGAATTTTTCTGTTTAATGGGACCCAGATGAGCTGTAAAATGTTTAGTACATTCAAGGTTGTCAAAGTCGTGCGCCTGAGCGCTTAAGCGCACCAGGCGCAGCGCTAGAGAGGTCCAGCGCCCTATGGATGGCCAGTCGCAGCTTCCCTTCTCAGGCGCAGGTTAGGCGCACAAAGCGCAGAAGCGCAGATGCGATATAAAGCGATCGCTGAATGCGCCTGACAGGGGAATCATTTATTTTAAGTTTAATTAGGTTGTTTCACATATTAAGAAGCCCATATTTTTAATAAAGCCCATGCAAATAAGGTCAAAACAATGTAACTTACGCTAAACACACAACGTAATTACATAAACCTACTGTTACATGTTCGCTACCTCGTCCTGTCCCTCCACATCAACCGCAAAGCTTGCAGCAGTGCAGCACTCAACGTTCAAAGTAAACTCTCTCTTTCTTCATCTTCCATTCATTCCATTTTATTTCTTTTTTCATTTTTCAGCAGCTACTTCTTCTTACAAACTACCAGTATTTTTTCAGCATGTATATGTAAAGTGTAAAGTACCAGCTTCTTCTTCCTGTACTCTATGTCTCTATAGAACTCCTGTTCTACATTCTAAACAACTTAAACATATATATGTAAACTACCAGTATATTTTTTCACCATGTATATGTAAACTAACAGCTACTTCTTCTTGTACTCTGTAGAATTCTTGTTTATATGTCTCAGTTAGTCAATTCTACAGTCTGAACAACTTAAACATATATATGTAAACTACCAGTATATCTTTTCTGAACAACTTAAACTACCAGTATAACTTAAACAGGCTTTATTTTGGTTAATGGTGACTTTATTTGATCAAGACATGACTTTTTAATGTAGTTGGTTCAATATGGTGTTATATACATCATTCTTGATTATTGGAGAATAGTATTTGCGATATTTTCTGAGCAATGCGCCTGACATGAGTCAGGCGAGCGCTTTTTTGCGCCTTGCGCCTCAGGCGCTGGAATTACCCTATCGCCTTGAGTGCGCCTCACGACTTTGACTACCTTGAGTACATTAGAACTATACAGAATAACAGGATCCATGTAACTCCAAATTTAGGACAACTAAGTTTGTTGAAAATACAAACTTCTAAATTGAAAAGGAAAAGGAAAAAAGAACTGAATTTGTATGAATATAGTGTAATTTTTGGTTCTGTCTTATTGAGAATACAGTCATTAGTCGATTACGACTAATTTCAATACATTTGCATCTTCTTTGTTGATTAATAACCAATTAACAATAAGGAGTAGAAATGGGAAAATTCTAGAAGAATGTTGAACTTCTAAATTCTGATGCAGATGACCCAAAGAGGACTGAACACTTACTTTCCCTTGATGGAGCTAAGGAGAGACTTCACCTATTCAAGGCAGATCTATTGAAAGAAGGCTCATTTGATTCTGTGGTTGATGGGTGTGAAGGTGTATTTCATACCGCCTCTCCCTTTTACCACAATGTCAAGGACCCACAAGTGCATTTCATGTGTAATTACTAGTTATGTTTTAAGAAGTAGGCCTTTAGGCAAATAGCGTGTCCACCTATCTTTTTAATGCTCAAATAATTCGTTAGAGAGTGTTTGTTACGTTACATGGATGTTGAAGCACTTTCCACAGTTCACATTCCATCATAAGTCATAACAAATACGGCTTTGCTGTTCAACTTCCCTGGGAGGATCACCCGCCTCTTAGCTTTTGTGCTGCTGGATTATTTGGGCCAAAGGTCCCTGACATCCGCCTTGTAAAAAAGAACACGTCATTGGTTTGGGTGGAAATGGCTATTATGATGTTAAACATCCCCTATTTTCCATTACATTCCATGAAAAGTGAATGGAAAGGGCAAGTGCGAGAAAGTGCAGTCCCATGGAATTAGAGTCGATTTCACTTTGATAACCTTGCAGGGAAAGTATCAAACACCGTAAAAAAGTCATGCTTATTAGACCATTTAAGCGCACCAAATGGATGCAAAGCATATACAGTTGTATAGTCACTGTAGCAGATTTGTGCCTCAAAATTGCCACTCAGCCCCTATATTATCGTGTTCACAGGCAGAGTTGATTGATCCAGCAGTAAATGGGACACTCAATGTTCTTGGGTCATGTGCAAAAACACCATCTATACAGAGAGTGGTTTTGACCTCTTCTATTGCTGCAGTTTCTTACAATGGCAAACCACGAACTCCTGAGGTGGTTGTTGATGAGACTTGGTGGTCAAGTGCCGACTATTGCAAAGAAATGGAGGTAAATCAATTATCTTCTAAAACACCCTGATAATTAAGATTTATTCTAGTGGTTCACTAAACTGTGTTTGGTAAAGGGGTAATTTGAGTTTGCACCCCATATTATTGTCTAAATTGGAGTTTGCACCCTGTTTTTAAAAATCTTTGTTTTTGCACCCCAACCCCATATGAAAAGACAAAAATGCCCCTCCATTAACAATTCTATTGACCTTCAACATATTCCTGATTGAGGTCATTTTAGTCTTTTCATATGGGGTTGGGGTGCAAAAACAAAGATTTTTAAAAACGGGGTGCAAAGTCCAATTTAGACAATAATATGAGGTGCAAACTCAAATTACCCATTTGGTAAACTATTCATTTGCTTAACAGTATTGTTAGACAGATCAACTATTAAACAGTAACTCATTCAAAATCAACATCTTAATTGGTTCATAATCCTTTTCTGAAATCAGTATTCTAGTCATTTTATAGCAGTAATGACTGAAACAAAGACAAATGATACCTGTACCATACTACCATAATCTTTTATGTATTATTAGTTTCTGTAAGATATAAAAAGTAAATTTAGCTAGTTCAGTCGTATTGGTCCAACTCAACTATTTCAGTCACAACATCAGCAAAATTAGTTTATTCAGCCTGATTCACTCCCACCAAACAAACTCTTATCTTGACTTCTTTTTCTCTTTCATCATTATCCATGTTTTGAACCCTTCGTTCGTCCTTTTTCTCTTAAACCTACGGAAACAATTCAAACGTAGTCTGATAACATATTTGCTTGTACCCTGACCGTTCTTTTCCCACTTTTAACATTTACTTTTGTTAGCAGATGTGGTATGTTCTTTCAAAAACATTGGCTGAGGAAGCTGCTTGGAAATTTGTGAAGGAGAAGGGTATTCATATGGTTACAATAAACCCAGCAATGGTTATTGGTCCTCTCTTACAGCCCACACTGAATACAAGCTCTGCTGCAATCTTGGAATTGATAAATGGTACGTAGTTTATGTTCTGATCTTACTGTATACAGTCTGCCTGTGTATCTTTATTCTTTCTTATTTTCATCTTGGATCTTGGAAACAGTATCAGTGTAGTTCCCTAAAATAAAAAATTGATGGGCAAATATGTCAAACACATAAGTTGTGAAGTGTTGTTGACTCAGCTTTAAAGAATTTAGTTGGATATTAGTGATGATCTCGCATTAAACCTTTCAATATCAGAATCATTATAGGTTCATTTGGAGCCTGGAAATGCCTGGGGGAGAAAATATGGAGAAAAATAGAGAGGAGATTTATATGGAAAGAATATATACTTTTGATAAAATAAAATAAAAATTGTTTAAACTCAATCAATCCATTAGGGATGTTTGTTCATGCTCATGTCAAAAGACATCATTGCTTCTAGTTTTCTTTTTGTTTTCCAAGTCAAAGTAACCATAGAATCATTTTCCTTTGGGTTTTTCCCTTTCCATAACAATTTCTAGGTTTCAAACATTGCCTATAAGACTATAAGTGTTTTTTCTTGTTTCTTCTTCTTACAAATAACCATATGGATTTCACTTCAATGCAGGTGCAGAAACATATCCCAATACTTCACTTGGGTGGGTTAATGTGAAAGATGTTGCCAATGCACATATTCTAGCACTTGAGAATCCTTCAGCTGAAGGAAGGTATTGTTTGGTTGACAGAGTTGCACACTACTCCGAGCTTGTGAAGATATTGCATGAACTTTATCCAACTCTTAGACTTCCGGAAAAGTAAGTTCCTTACAAGGCTAAGAATCTCATTACTTCTGAAGTTGTTTGGTTTTTGGATATTCTTATCAATAGTTAGACTCTACCACTTTGACAAAATCGTAAAACGCTGCGGATTTTTTGGAATGCTTTAAAGTACCTGTCACGCTAAACTAAATGAGTTCAAACTTAAGAACTATAGGAAGTCAGCACCAAACTCAGGTAGGTACAAATAAACAAAATTACATCAACCTGTCATCCCTACATTAGGAGTAAGCAAAAAGTTAAAAGTTTGTCTTCTGTGGTGTGTATATTGAACTTTTTGCTATGATGTTGAAATGCTCAAACATTTCACATAAATTATGGTAGTGCATTATTTATTTTAAAACTAGGTAGATTAAAGGTCTGTTGCTTAGGCGCTTTTGGTGTGCGTTGCGATTCCTGCATCTTTCGTTTTACCAACTTGCAGGTGTGCGGACAACAAGCCATTTGTGCCAATTTACCAGGTGTCGAAAGAAAGAGCCAAAAGCTTGGGTGTTGTATTTACTCCCCTGGAAGAAAGTCTCAGGGAAACTGTCCAAAGTTTGAAGGAGAAGGGATTTCTCGGAACGTCTGTGGCTCTGTGATGAGAAATGCTTTCCGTTCTGCTTAATTTCTTTTTGTGTTATTGTGACTCTTTTTTTTGTAATTTTTGAGAGAATGATGTTTTAGTGTGGTAAGAGTACTTGGTTTGCTTTTTATGATATACGGAGTATGTGTTAAGAGAATGATGTCTTAGTGTGGTAAGAATGCTGTTATAATTGTTCTTTGTTAAAAACAGAATTGAGTTTAAATTCTGTCATTAGGGTTGTTCACCACCCTATTGTCACAAATTGAATAATGTTTGGACTGATATATAATATGCAGATGTTCATAATTAGGCTACGGCCTATTATAATATGTAGTCCTAATTAGGACCGGTTCTGAAAATTTCAAGGCCCTGTACAATTAAAAAAATTGGACCTTCCATTCCGATAAAGTAGAAATAGAACATAAATAAGGATGATTATAGTGAGAAAGTACTGATAATTTATTTTAAAATACAAGTTACTTATGAATAAAATAGTAAAAATAAAAGTATTCAATAATAAAATATATTTCATTTAAAAAGGGACATTCTTTGGACACATAATGACTTCCAAGTTGCTAGAATTCCTCCACTAATCATGTAAAATTAAGGCTTGTTGTCTAGAGAAAATCAGCAATAATAGACCGTCCGCTCCATAAAGAATGTAATTTAATAGACTAGTAAGTAATAACATATTATACCAACTTGCAAAATATAATTAAAAATTAGTTTAAATGTTTAATTACTTGGTCACTTGGCTAGAGAAAATAGAAACAACAACGTAAACTGTGAAATTTCATAAAAAATTAGTAGACGTAATGGAGTAATAGCCCTAATAATTGTAAATAATTAGAATCAGCAATAAAATCACAATATATCATATAATAATAATAATAGTAATAATAATAATCAAGAAGATTAATAAACAATAATCTTAACAAGTTAAGAAAGTCAATCCTTATAATTTAAAGATTGACGAATTGTGGCATGGTGAGCGACTGAGCTACTAAGGCGAAGGAGCGGACTGGAGGCATCGAGATGTGGTGCAGTCGCAGCCCTAAACGGTGGTCAGCATTCCTTGTCGGTCGTCCGTCTCTATTTCTTCCTTGCAAAGAGCTGAGAGAGTGAGAGGCCAAAACATGGGAGCACTCCATGGTGAGCATGGTGCTGCCATAGCCAAAACACACGTGAATAGTTACACACATGAATAAAAACTTTTTTTGTGTTTTTATTCTTGTCCCAATAGCAAAGTGATGTAACTCGCGTGTAACGAAATGTAATTCACGTTAATAATATATGTAACTGCAGGCTAGTCCAAATGTAACTTGTCTAATACAGAGTATAAGAAATAAAACATTGATTTCAATGTAAACAATGAAAACAAGAAGACTAATTGCTCAATTATTTTACGTAAACAGTGAATATGTTCCGTTTTTAATATTAAATCCATGAAAAGTTCTTTTTTTTTTAAAATCCTTTTTTGCCAAGAACCCATTTTGTTTTGCCAAAAAAAATCTTTTTTTTCCAAAAAAACATTTTTTGGCCAAAAAATATCATTTTCTTTTCAAAATAAATGATTTTTTGTTTCAACAACAGAATTTTATTTTGTGATGTAACTCGTGTTATGGAAAATGTAAACCACATTGATGGAAAATCTAACTTAAGTGTATGCAAATATAATTTGTTGATCGAGAGAAGTCCAAATGTAACTCGCACATATGAAGATGTAATTCATACATAAAAAATGCAACTCACGCATAAGAAGATGTAAATTTCTATACTATCAAATGTAAAAAAGAAGTCTAATTGCTCAATTAATTTATGTAAATAGTGAACATGTTTTGTTTTTAATATTAAGGCCATTTAATGTTTTAAAGAAAATTCATTTTTTTGCAATTTTTTTTTTTGTTTCAATAGCATGAGTTTAGTTTGTGATGTAACTCGTGTTATGGAATATGCAACTCATGTTGATGGAAAATCAAACTTAGTTTTATGCAAAATGTAACTTGTTGAGTCAAGTGCTAATGTAACTCGCGTATAGGAAGATATAACTCACATAAAAAAAATATAACTCGCACACAAGAAGATGTAACTTCATATGCTATCAAATGTGACTCCAGAAATTGTTATAAACATAACTCACACATGTAGAAATGTAAAACACACATACGAAGATGTAATCTCATATTTTATCAAATGTAAATCGAATTGAACGAATTTAATGTCTTAAAAACACTAAAAACATGTAAAAGAGATAAGAAATATGATAGTATATTATAGAAAAAGTGCATGAATATGAAAAAATATTTTACAAAAAAAGTGTAAAATATAAGAAAAAATTACAAAAAAGTGTATGAAACAAAAAATATTACATTATTACATAAATAAAAATAGTGTACGAATGTGAAATGTAATATACGTTTTTATTTAGATTTATAGTTTTTTGTGATGAATATATAAAGAATAAGAAAATAGATTGATTTGTAATTTAAGTTGCAGATAAATAAAAGAAAAATTGTAATTACATTTTAGTATTTGATGGAGAAGAAAAAAGAAGCAAAGAGAAAAAAATGCGTACGTGCAGGGAAACAAAATAAAGGAGTAGTGCGATCGTCACACCATGCGCATGGTGTGCCAGTTCCACGGTATAATTTGCGCCTTTTAAATGTTTTCTTACTGGCCTGGTAAGCTTCTTCTTTCAATACAATTTAAATAATTAAATGGTATACGCCTTAAAATTCAGAACATTAATAGTTTTCCATTTTAAGTATGTATATTTTGTAGTTTCTGTAATATTAAGATTATACTCTATTTAGAGCCGTCTCAAAATAAACCATTAATTAAGTTTAATTACTAATATAGACTTGCAATAATATTTAGTCATTGTTGTTCATTTGTTCATTACAGACTTACAGTAATTAAGTAAATGCATGTGGAATCTAAACAATTTTCAGTTTACTTATAATAATATAATGTGTTAATATAACAAGAGTGCATGCATGATGCATTGATGCATGTGTTTTATCGAATTGCAATGCGTTAAAATAGTATACACGTTTTTTACACTTCTATTGATGCAATACAAATAGATTTACTTAGCTTCTTATACACTTTGAACACAGGGATAGATTTAGGGGGGACCGCCCCTTGGACTTTCAATTTTTTCTACTATATATATAATATCTCATAAAATTTTCATACTTTAATTAGATATATATGTATTCGCCTCCCTTAATTTATAATTTTCAAAATTAATATATAGCAGTACATAGTGGAAAACTTAATTTTAGATTTAAAAGAAGTAAAATCTAAAATCATTTACATAAAAGGGAAAATGGAAACTAATAATCCAACTTTTTAGCGGTCTTTTTACAATAGTCTCACCTTTTCATTATTCATGAATAATCTAACATTTGCACCTCATCTTCATTCACTGGTCCCTGATCTCACCTTTCACAAAGATAATATTTTGCAAAGATAAGAAAATAACTTGAAGTAGCAGGTCATTAACCGGTCAGGGACCAATGAATGAAGATGGGGCACATGCAAAGGTTGAATTATTCTTGAATAACGAAAAAGTGAGACTATTGTAAGAACATTGCTAAAAGGTTGGATTATTAGTTTCCATTTCACGTGATTAAACATGATAGAAGTTGCTTAAGAAGCATTGCGTGATGTGTACCTTTTAAACTTTTTACTTTCGAATAATTTCATAAAATATTATATATCCTATAATATTCTTTGATTTTCCATTTCTTTCGATTTAGTATCAATACTTTTTCCAAGAGTATTTACAGTTACAAAATCAAAGTTATTTTTTTCATTATCTAAACTTAGAATCTAATATATTTAAATGCCATCGTGGATGTACTAATGGAATTTTTTAAATAAAATTAGCGACAAAAATCTCCACTAATGAAAAATTTCGCCCCGATACACTAGCATAATAAATAATTCACACCACTACATTAGCGGAAAAAATTCGCCCCGGTACGCTAGCTAAAAACTATTCACCCTTTACATTAACAAAAAAAAATTCGCCCCCCTTGAACCGAAATCCTGGATCCATCCATGTTTGAACATGTAGATAAGGGCACTTTTTAGTGTTCTGCATTCTAACCAATACATTTTGCCCTTTTGGTTTAAGTTCAAACATATTTCATTACAAATTTAAAGTAGTTGCAATCTTAATATCCTTATTATAGTTTTAAATTAAACGAATTTACAAATGAATACCAAAAATGTTATTTTAATTTAGTAAAATAAACATATAATGTGGAATAGAACTATTAAGATGCACATATTAGATACTTTTATTTCAGAATCTTACGAAGCTAGCACATTTTATTCTGTCAATGCAATGATGCTAAATAAAATATATCCAGTCGTGATCACAAATTTAGGCCATCCATTTGTGAATGAAAAGTGATGCAGTGACTCAAATGGTATAAAATTAAGATATCATGTGAAGATCTAGTATATATTGCACAGAAGTAGTATTGAATAACCTAAATGTAAGTACATATATAACATGTGAAGAAACAACCTTTAAATCAAAAGAACATAAAGCGCTTAAAATGTGAACTATGGAGCATTTGTTTTGGCAATTTGTATAACAAATCCTACGATGGCGTCCTATATATATAACTCTATAAGAGTACATGTCAATTAATTAATTATTATGCCTAGAAAAGTACAGAATAAGAAGTGATTAATCTGAAGAGCCCTTAAACAAAGTAAAAAATTGTCGCTTAAAGCTTAGCTGATTTATAATTCAATCATATATTCTGATATTCATATTTCATTCATTAGATGTTATTTTATGAATGATACTTTAAACAGTTAAGATGATATATCAAAAAAATTCGCCCCATTTAAAGTTGAGATGGCATAACAGTTTAACCAAATGAATAATTAACTTAGATGAAACATTATCATTAGAAAATCTCATTTGAAGAGGATTTCATTAGAAGTCTTTCTAATACTATATAGAAAGAATGAATGACTAAAATAAGACCAAGAACTTTTTTGCAGACAAAAAATGAGATTTGATTTTAACATGGGTAAAAAAGAGACTAAACAAATCTGAAAAGACAAGATTACCTCTTATATAAATAAAAAAAGACAAAAAATAAAACCCTAATTCTACCTTCACTCTTCAGTTGCCCCGCTTTCCTCCTCGCCTGGATTGATGATCGATCCTTCCCGGCCTCTAAAGGACCGGGATGGTAATGCCAAGTGTCTGAGAGGGTGAGTCAACAGGAAGGGAGCGGGACTGTTGTTATTGACAGGTCATCAGGGTGATGGTT